ATACGGCACAGGAGTCACTTCCTCATCACCAGCCGGCGCAGGCTGCAGATACAGCGTAGCACTGACTCATTCCACACCAATTCTCCCAACTAAGTGGCTGTATGCTTTGTCTGACTGGTCCACAGCCTGCTGGGAAAATCTCATCAACTGGGTGACATAAATCTTAAATATCCAGAAAAGATAAACATGCAATAAATCTATTCTGACACAAGCCACTAGCATATGCAAAGATGAATCAACTTGATAAAGCCAGGTTTCTTTCATGAAAAGAAGTATGCAAAGTGAAGGAAGTATTTGTTATGGTCAAGGAACAGACAGAGCTAAAAGCACCGAACTGTTTTGAAGATTGCCCAATATTTCACTTCCTCCTTTCAGTTTTGTTTAATGTTGACAAACCTTAACACTTTCAGTTATCTTTAAAAATTTGATTTGCCTATCTCAGGCTGGATATTTTCCAAAAACTCTAAGCACAATACTTTGACAGTATCTGACAAGAAGACTGATTAAAAGCTATTGCTTCCTTCTAATGAAAAATTTTGCTAGCTGTTTATTTATGATGCTCAGGTATTTATATGATATGCTTTGGAGCAGGGACTTAAGAGCTGTTGCTTTCTTATTAATATACTTTTACCATGCCAGAGAACTATACCTGCAGCTCAATGACAGCATCTCTCATCTTCAAACAATAGTTTGAGTATTGCTGTGGAATTCAAGAAGGATCATCCTTCCAGGAAAACGTAACCCCAGAGAAAAGCTGAAAAAAGTGGGTCAGAGAAAACTGACCCACTTCGGGTCAGTTTGTGTGTGCCAATTGGTGGGCTGCATAGGTGGAGAGCCAGGCCTTTCAGCTCCTGCTCCCCAGAGGTTTCTCTGAGCCTGCAGTGGGACCTATGAGGTTCAGGCCACAACTTCTCCCCTGGGTTTTGGGGTTGGGATAAGCTTAGGACTTAGGAAAGTATGGCACAGGCAAAGTGGAAGAAAGGACATAAGGCTGAACTCAGAAGCACAGCTCACGGTGAAATGAAAGTCTTGAAATATCACATTGTGGTCTAGAAGTGTGACTACTCTACTGGAAACCACTGAGAGCTAAAATTGCTAATAAAGGCTTATATGTCAATAAATTATGTCCTCTAGCTTGCCTTCTCACAGACTGTTCCCTGTTCCTATGACAAATGCTGGATTTGACTACAGTAGACATATGCTATTTTCCCAGAAATATTGAATCTGACTGTTTCTAGTAGTCCACTTGCAAGCCCAATAGCCTGCAGATGCCAGTGCTAATGCACTGTGGGCCATTTTCAAGGGGGCAACCTGCCCTCTTTTGCTTCTGCAGTCATTTCTTGCTGCAGGAAGCAGCGATGCTGTGTGTGAACATCAGTGGTATCACGGCACTGCAGAAACAGCAACACAACTAGTGCAGAAATTACCAGTGCCAGAGGCTGTACCCGTTCTTGCTGACCCTCTTCTCAGGAAGCCATGCCCGGGCAGCCCATTTTTTTTTTCACCAGAAAAGCTTTATTTATCTTGCCAGTAGGTGCTGTATATCAATTGCTTATCAGGTCACTGAAGAAGAGGTAAGGGTGCACTGAAGTTGACTTGAACTTGATTTATGAATTGTTATTGGGTTCTCACTACTAGGTAGCTCCTGCCAATACCCATAACACTGAGAGGAAACAGATGGCAACAGGAGGTTCAGATGTTTAAATGTTCCCCTACCAGCTTGCATAACTTTTTGTTCATGCACGTGAGGACTGGGGAAGAGAAAGCATCTCTCTTTTCTCCTCTCTCCCTTTTTTACCCCCTGTAGTCAATTTTGTTCTTGTCTGCAATTGTTATCAATTCTCTCTTCCATTTGCAAATGTTTGTAAGTCATCAAGATCTAATGATGAGCCTTGGCCAGACAGGAATACAGGTCACATCCTTGGTGACAGAACGGACAACGATCTATAAGAAAAGGCTCAGCAGGAAACAACTGGCAGTGTAATAATCCCTTGGCAAAATACAGGAGTGGTTACATTAAGTCTTACACAATCCTTAAGTACAAGAGGTTTCTGTTTTTGATTAGTCTAATGCTGAATTTGGAAGAATTCCTCCAAACAGAGGTTAATGTTAACATGAATAAACAACTAAAAGGCCTAATGTAACATTAAAGACAGTCTCATAAACTCTTCAACAAACAAATGTTTAAGCCTGTTGCTAGGTAATGATGATTGATTAAACTTAAGCTTTTATGTATACGCAATCTTCATACATACAGCCATTTGATACTCCTAAGATACAGCTAATTGACACTAGTTATAAAAAGACCACATATATTTTTTTACTCACACCTGCCAAAAGCTTTCTGTCTTTCAGTAGCTACCAGGAAGTACCTCATTATCTATTGATGGCCATGTTTTCAGAGCTTGCTCTTCCCTCCTGTATCTCAGTGTCAGATATACTCGATTTCTTCTTAGGCAAGAATAATTCTTCTCTTTTAAAAAAGTGTTCCCATGAATTAATTACAATGTGTTTTCACCATTTGTTTATGGTAGTGACTGCAGCCAACTTGGCATAAGAACATCTCTGAGAAAATTGGAGAAGGCAACCACATAATGAGAAGGGGATGGGAAAAAAATAAAGGCTTGTACATATTTTTGATCAATTTTTGTACACTTTGTCAGCTGGGTGACAAAGTACTGAGAATTTCAAGGATCAGTGCACCTAACCTTTGTCAGGATGCGAGCTATTTCGGTCACTATCTCTGAACTCGTCAGGTCAGAGTTAAGGACTTCCAACCACAACTAAACGCAGTCAGGTTGTGTGAGACTCTCCCTGCTTTGTATACCCCTTCCTAATCTTGCATCCCAACACTATCACAGCTCCCAGACTATGAGGCCATCATTTAAATTTAACAGTAGAATCAGCAAATGAAGATGAATAGACAAAGTTAAAATCATGCAGTTACAATGCATTTCCTACATTGTACATATTTGTAGTAGAAATTCCCTGCTGTCATGAGAATATCTGAACAGAAAATGGATTATTTCCCTTGAAACTTTGTAGTAATGAGTTACAAGAAATATTTTAATACTTTCACAGCTGTTAATTATTTTTTTCCAGACTGAAAGAGAAAATAACATAGTGCTATCAGTATGCAAAGTTTGTTTCACCAATCAGCTGTGTCTGATTCACAGGTAGACTACACTTAGTAATGCTGTCAGGCTCATCTGTGGCTTCAGTCAGAGGTACTGTTTGTCTACAGTATTAAAAGTTAATTTTTAGAAGGTGTACTATAATTACTTCTCTTTTGGGGCTCTATGACATCTCATGGTCCATCGCAAGCCACAGAGAAGCATTCCTGTATTAGCTGTGGTAAATATTTTCATAACTGCTGCTCTCTTTATTAACCTACACAAGTTATTTCTCTTTTTCAACTTTGTTGCCCTGATGGTGGACAGTGGCATTGCAAACACTGGATGAAGTGGGGTTATAATTCAATTGTTGGTTAATTAGAAATTCTGCAGTTCAAATTCAGGTCATTGTCATTCTCTCTGTCACTCACTACACCTGCACAGATTCATTGTACCTAGGAATGGTGTCCCATACTGTCAGTAATTCACCCATAACATGAGTTTTTCATAAACATTTAGCTTTGAATTACTTGGTCTAAAAGTCGCATGGCCTCTTCTTGTACCTCATTTAATGAATAGTTTGAGGTCATGATGACTTAAATATATGTGCAAGGACATGGCTGAAGAGTCCTCTCTTTAAAACTCCAGGTTATTAAGATTTTGTTTCTCTATTTTTTCCCAAGGCCTCCCTATATTAATTCAACATGTAAAATAAAGTATTCAGTAAAATAAGATACATTCAATTTTACTCAATGCTTCCCCAAAATTGTTACCAGTTTTACGTAAGTTAGCTGCAAAGTTTGGATCATATTTGTTTAAATGGAATATTTCTCTAACTTCATCTGAAGTCTTGCAACAATAAAACCCATTATGAATTTGTTTTTTCTTTCTGTGTAGTTAGAAACACTGTGGACAGGTGGGTCTTGTTTGCTTTGGCCAGCATCAAGTTGTAAGGAAGAAATATTGATATATGAAGAGCATGCTTTTCCAGCTCAGAGAGGAATAGGTCTCATTATGATACCATCTGTAGCAGCTTTTGGGGTGGAGTCATTGATGTGAATTACTTATAAATTAATTTGACATTTCTACTCTGGCACATCTGTCCTGGAGTCAGTTAATACTGCTGCTGTTAAAGACAAATACCATTTGTTGCATCAGGCATTCATTACCTCTCTGCTTCTCTATTCTGAATGTTTCTGTAATTTGCATCATTTGAAATTTCCTTTTATTAACTGAACTTTGTCTATTCACTTGTGAGCACCAGTCACTCAGGTGAAGATCTGGTTGGTTTCTCCAACCCCTTCAGGGAATCCTCTCCCAAAAGTGGGGTTCATGGTTCTTGTGTATTGAAATGATGGAGCTATTCTGCAACAGTCCATGCAACTTCATCCTCTGCTTGTCCAGAATCTTTCTTTGACATCAGAAATGGGAAAGGGCTTAATAAACTCCTCAGTAGTTTGTTGTATGAAACCTTTGGAACCCTCTCAGGGAAAGAAAAGTTGTGCAGCACATCTCAAAAACTGCAGGTCAGCTGTTCTTCAGTGTAATTTTAGTGTAATTTTCAAAGAATCCTGGACTTGTGCACTGCTAATGGATGAGATACGAGAGTCCTTTCCTGATATCTTATATTTAACTAGCAATATTAATTGTATCCTACCTGTGTCCAGCTCTGACAACTCGAGACAGTCAGCTCTGCACATACCTGGGAAGTACCCAGAACTTCAGAAATGACAGCAAGCAATGTGTGAGAGATTTTTGTGTTCTGTTGTGAGGTGCTGAACAAGGAACCAACAAGCACAACTTAGAATCCCTGTCTGTTCCAAGAAACTGCTCACAAGTGGTACAGTTCTCCCACTGAGTGCAAGTTCAGCTTTTTTATTTCCAGGATGAAAAAAACTCACAGAAGGAGCCCCTGAAGTTGCACACTGAGAAGCTGCAGCACGGGGGGAAATCAGGAATCATGTGATTCCAACAACTTCTGGATAACATACATAGGTGTGCACGATGCAAGCCACAGAGTGTTTCTTACATGCCACATTTATCACAGCTCAGTGCTAACCTTGGTGCAGGCTGTAAGAATGGCAGTAGATGCAAAATACTATGGGATAAGCGTGGGGGTAGGGACCACTCCACGGCATATTTGATGCAAACAAAGCTCTTTTTGCTCCATATCAAGACAGACAGACATGAGGCCCAGGGCTGCTAAATTGGATACATCATTGCTAGAAATCCAAAATAAGGCCCATTTTTCACACTACAGGGTGAAATGTGTTTCAGGTGCTAAAAGACTGCCTATTTCATATATCCTAACAGTTTTGAAGAAATTACTCATGTAACCAGAAGGTATTGGAGTACTGTGTTTATATTGTAAGTTGGATGTGAAGTGCACTGGACCCAACACCCATCTGCCATGTACAAAGAGGTACAAGACCAGAGGAACTGCAGAACTGGATGTGCTTTATGACCTTAGCCAGACCCAACACCTGGGTGGGCTGTGGAGGACCACCTTCTCTCTCCATGATTGCACCTAAGATAATTTTAAATCTGATTTTCTCTTTATTGCAAAGTACCTTGGTCAGAATGGGGCCAAGGCTCATTGAGTGTTAAGTAGGCCCTGTTGATTGGGCTGTAAGGCTGAAAAATGCAGAAACCTAATGATTATACATTAGTCTGAAAAACAGGAAGGGGCAATATGGACAGAAAGGCTTTCTTGGAGCAAATTTATTCTCCAGTAAAATGACAAACCCCATTTCATAGATTTTGGTATGTTTTCTTTCTACTGTAATCTTAGTAATCTGTATGCTATCTTGGGGAAACAAAATTTCTGATTAAAAGTTTCATGTGACAGATCATGCATACTAAAAAATGATTGCACTGGCTCAAGCACTGTTAAAAAGGCATGCACAGCAGAGTGAACACACCATTTTCTCCCAGATAAGCCCAACTGCCACAGCTGCTGAGCAGAAATGCAGTATTGCAGAACAGGAATCATACAGGGTAACTGCTGCAGTTCAGGAGGAAATTCCCCTCCTGCCTCTGGTTAGTGTGTAACTCCTAAGGAGATACTTTATGGGGAAATACGCAGAGGATGTGGCTGGTCCTTCTCATAAAGTCTTCCAAAAAGTGTCGCTGTTAGGAGCGGTTTCGATGTGCCGTGCTTGCTGTTCAAACGCCCGTCACGTAGCACCTGGTAGGAAAGAGAAACAACAGCACAAACAGTCAACTAACAGAGCAGCAACATTGCATAGTACAGAAAGAATAGACCTTAGATGTTGAATATTTTGATGCAACACTTTTAAAAACAGTCACATGTTTGTGAAAGAAAAGAGAATTCTCTCTGGCTCTGCCATAGCCTCCCATTATATTCTTCCCACATTTCCTTGGACCCAGAAGTCCTTAAACCTTCCTCTGTCTTCGGAAAAAAGCATCATTTTCTCCACCTTATAAGAAGGTGAGACTGAGAGTAACTAATTTGTTAGGTTCTCTTTAGTTACTCATACAAGGCAGCTAAGGTTATATACATATCTAGGACATATTTGAAACATTTTTTGATTTGTAAAACCCAAAACAATTTTCAGATGGAAATAGAGAATTTCAAGCTACTGGCTATATGTAGCTTATCTTGGATGCTTTTTACATATCACTTTGAAATCACTGTTCACCAGCTGTGAACACCTACAACAAATTTTTTTGCCTCTGTGGCAAAACATAAGCATGTATTTGCTAAGAAAATGCAATCTATTGTTTTAAAATTAGGCCATGATCATATTTTTAGCATACCAATAAATTCTTTGATGTGCCTATTTTTAAAGAAGTCTCATTCAAAAACATGTATGAAGGGTGAACAATGTTTTTCAATTTCCTTTTTTAAAAAATCACCCTTTGTTTCCCCTAAAAATTTCAGGTCTTCCTCACTGTCTTCATTGTCTCTTGTAAGCTCTTAAATGCTTCTTCCAAATCAATTAGGATTTCATCTAGCCTATTGCATAAAACTAACCAAAGGTTTATGAATGAAAACATCTTTTGGCAAAAAAAAACCCAAAAAAACCAGATTAACTGCCAAATAAAAAAAATGAACCCCACAAACCCCTCAAAAATCACTTTTAACATTCTTAACTGTATAGAATCTCTACTCTTACACATGATACTCCTAATTGATTTTTCTTGTTTGGATAATTTCTCAGAGTATTTTATTTCTTTTTCTCCTAAAATGCCCATCATGAGAAACATGTAGAAAACAGCTCCTTGAAAGCTGCGGTTTATTCATTTGTGATCTGAAGTGGGAAGGCAGATTTGCTAAAGAAAGCACTGAAGAGATTTTCAGCTCCAGGACTGTATGTTCTCATCAGTAAGGATTGATTCAATCCACCTGTTTCAGTTTGTCTCCTTGGGTTACAGTCTGTAGGACCAAAGAAAGCGGTTCTTGGATGGGACCTTGCTGCCAGATCAGTTTTCAGCTCCATAGCATGAAAAACCTTGCAACAAACAGCTCCAGGGTGTCCCATTACCTGGAACTCCCCGGGGGCCAGCTGCACCCCGCTGTACAGCACTTCTGGGAAGACGTAGCTGGTGCCAAATGTGCCACTGAGGGAGAACATCTCAAACTTGGTCTGAGCTGTCTCCATGGGCTGCCCACATGTGCTCAGGTTTGTGCTGGGGCACTTTAGCAGACTGCAGATCTGTGGGGAGGAGACACAAAGGCAAAACATCACTAAACTTTCAGCAATCATAAGCTGGATTTGATAGCAAGTTCCCAGGATGCAGTAATGGACAAATGTTTTTAGGTGGTTGGCATGTGGCCACACACTCACCTCTAAAAATGCAATTACCTGCCAATGGTACTTTATGACAGAACCGTGAAGCCCATCAAATGCACCCAGGACATAAACTTCATCTTTCCTCTTGTTTGACATCTGGTAAACCAGATGACAGCAAAGGTCTCCTTGGCAAACAGTGTAATTTCCATCCTTGTGCTTGAGTTCACTGAAAGTGAATATATCCTTCCGGACAGCTCCAGAGAAAGTGTCATTTTCTCCAGGAAATTTCTTGATGCTGGTGGCATACAAACTCCAGTTGATGGCAGGAGGGTAGGTGGGGGAAAGACGGGGGTGTGCACTCATCTCTGCTAGCAGGAGCTGTCCCTCCTCCGTGACACTGTCATAGTGGTAGGCAGCAGGTCCTTCGGGCGTGAACAGCCCGCTGCCTGCCAAGGACACCACCAGCCCTCCGTTAGCCAGCACCACACAGCACGGCTTGGCAGGGGCGCCAGTCACCCCCACACCACACTGGCACTGTTTTTCAGTGATACTCTTTTCATTCAGTATGTTACTGAGAGTTTTGGAATCATTTTAAAGCACAGAACAGCTAAAATACCCATCCTAGTGTTAAAATGTTGGTTCATTTAAAAATAAATCATAGCTCTCAGAGTGGGATATTTGACAAAGGAGACAATCATGGGGGAAGTTTTGTTTCACTGAAGGAAATACAGGGCTGTGGCCTAAACTCATCCCAGTCCATTCAGGGCAGGAAAAATGTTTTTTAGTAGTTTTCACTTCACTTCAAGGGAGGGCAACAGGTGCAGTTACACCTTTTTCTCAGTTACTAGAGGAAAAAAAAGGCAGCAAATATATAGTCAAAGAAAAGCAAAACATAGTATCTCTAAATCTTCAGCAGCCACAAAAAAAAAGAGAACGCTTTATTCAGTACACAAGAGGAATCTTCCTTTCGGTTTTACACTATTAGGTTCTGATTAAAAGGTTTTTTCCCTCCGTTAACTGTTCATTGAATTTTAAACAGAAAATGCTGCCTCTAGAGAAGAGACTGAAAATTTAAGTGAAACTTTGTGTGCTTTTTGAAAAAAAAATTCACTTTTAAGTTATCAAAACTTAATGTCATGGGCTTTCTATTTTTACCCTTTTTAGAACATTCAATATTTTCTTACCTCAAGTTGTTTGCTACATTCAGTACCAAATCATAAATATCTTTACTCCAATTAAAACACTGCTTTTCAGAGACTTCACTATGTCTAAAACAGTTCTGCCTTCTTCTGAATCTGGGAACAATTTCTCTGTTCCTGAATACAACTCACCTGTCATTGCCATGCTGGTGTTGTGAGTATTTGCTGAAAGTAAATTAACACGCATGCCCATAGCCCAAGCAGAGTGAAACTCAATTGCAGTCAGAAAGGGCAGGACATTCATCCAAGCTGTTGGGAAGAGCACGGTGTCCACCTGCATCTTGCTCACCAGAACCACGGCAGGCTCATAGAAAAGGATGTCAAAGCAAGTGAAAATGCCAAACTTCCCAAAAGGAGTCTCAAAGATGACAGCTTCTGGCTCTTTTGGGTAATTAAACTGAGTTTCACCTCTAAACAGATTGTACTGCAGGTAAAGAAAATGGCATATTAGAAACTGAAAATAAGGCAAGGTTATGAACAGCTTTTAAATCTGAGATAGGCTTTAATGCAAAAGTGGGAGTTGAGCTACCTGAGCTGGCTGGCATGGCTGGTTTGTATCCATCCAGCTGGCCCTCCGCCCCAAAAATGGGGTGGCTGTTCCCCATCTACCCTCCTGAAAGCAATGCCCAGTATTGAGCATTATATTTAGCAGTATTAGCTGCTAAAATCCAAGACCAAGGGCCAAGATGTTCCGTGAAAAAGCACTGTCTACATTGGCTATGAATGTACCAAGGAAAAGCTAATGTTCATTGAGTATGGAAGATTCTGTCACTGATTCTTTGCCATTTACTGTCATAAACTTAGCCCTCAAGTGTTTGGCAGCTGGCATGCACTCTGCAGCTACAGTGCTCCTGGGAATAATTTGCCTGACTGGTCAAGAAATTGCTTGGTTTTCTTTCTGGCCATAAGATCATCAAATCATCCTGGATTAGTTGTCACTTTATAATAATGTAAAATTCTTGTATAAACCATCTGAAATTGGTGCCAGAGGGCTGAAAAATATATTGATAATAAATTAGAGGTTGATGCTGAAGCACGTCCTTACCTTATGGTAACGAGCCACCAGCTTCCCCTGTGTGTCAAACACGACATCCGTATTGTACTGGTAGCGACCGTCCCTGGGGCAGTCGGGATCACTGGAGTCACACGGCTTCTTGTCCCCAATATTTGCAACCACATAGATGGAGTTATTTCTGGCCATGCAGCTGAGTCGTTCCTGCACTGGTGCTGGACCAAATCTAAAGTATTTTAGGGAAGGAGGAAAAAAAAATTTTTAGAAGTTTAAGTGCCCATGTAGAAGTAATGTGTTCAGTAGTCCATTAACTGCACATCCCCAGATGCTGGAAAAGTAATAGATCAAATCATAGTTTCTGTTCATTTTCTTCCCTGTTCATAGTATCATTTTAAACTACCAGTCTCTTTTATCTTTAAAATATGGTCTCCCTGTGTTCTTCTTTCCTGTACCCTTTACAATATTATCTTCTGTGTGGATAGAATTCCCAGCCAACATGCATACAAAGATGTGGAGAGCTTCACAAAGCAAGGGCAAGAATAAATCAGTACACAGGTACAAATCTTAAATAGCTTAAAAGCAAATTATCAAGCGGCTCTAAGCCCTGATTCAGAAGACAATTATAGCCTTTTTTTAAAAATCATTATCTGTAAGCCTTTAGTAAAAAGCGGGCCAAGCATTTACAGAGCTGAGGACTCCTGAAATCTAGCTTCATAAGGCCTCAGAAGAGAGTATAAAAGCTTAGCTAAGACATGAACTTGGTCTTTTTGGTGTCCCCAGCTGACACACATTGAGGCCACCTCTGTGTGTAACACAGCAGACTGAAAGTGGCTTTATTTCCAAAAGATATTTCTTTCAGATCTGGATTAGTATTTTGTACAACTGGGTTTAGAAATCAATCAGCCACCTGAACTGAGGACTGAATCAGTTTGTCTGATCTATGCATCTAACATGATAATAAATTAGATTCTACTTAGAGAAGGTTTTCACCAATGATCTGAATTGATAAAGTTGTGCATATTTTTAAAATAATTATTTTGCCTAAAACATCCTCATTTTTGTCCCTTTTCAAGTAAAGCTGTCTCAGTGCTTTTTAGCTGACATATTCCCATTACCATTTAATTAAGACCTCTTTTTGATGCATCTCAATTCTACGGTACTTGTGATTTTATATAGATTAAAGAATTAGCAGTTCTTAGTCATTTAGAGAGCTGCTCAAGACTTCATGAGATACAGGTTGAAATCACCTAAAACCACAGAAGGAATCACCTTGAGGGGTCAGTGCAGGGAATCCAATTCACCACTGGATCTGGGATATCCTCCAGGTAGGGGTAGATGGATTCTCTTGTCAATCGCCAGCCATAGATGCCATCTTCAGGAGTCACGATGATGTGGGAACCCTGTCACAACAGGCTCCGTTTAAAGGTCACCCACCAACAGACAACCAGGAGGGCCAGCAGGAGCAGAAAACACTGATGGAGGACCCTGACGGTACCCCTTGTACCTGCTGGGCAGCTTCCTTGATGGCCCCTTCCAGGACATCCATGTTTTTATTCATCAGGGCCAAAGCACTGTCGGGAGAAACGGGCTCCTCGGTGGGACCTGGCAGGATGACGGCGTGCTCATAGACAGCTGCCATGAAGGTGTCGGAGGCAAGGGCCTGAAGGGCTGCGAGTGCAAACACCACTGCGGGCAGGAGAGCCTGGGAAGGGAGCATGGCTGCAGCCTCCCAGCTCCTGGATTAACATGAGGAATATAAATCAGAGAGAAAGAGGAGGAGTAAAGACTAATACATTTACTTTGGAAGTAAACTTCTGTTAAGTAATCTCAGAAGCTACAGTGTATTTCTGCCAAAAAGTCAAAGAAGCTTTTCTAGGAATTTGATCTTGTTTCCAATATTAAATGTTTTAAACAAAAGTAGAACAAAAGGCTAAGAGAGCTTGTCAGAAGCCATGTTAATCTACAGGGGGTCCACTGGAAGGAGCACTTGCACATTTCATTTGCACATCCCTCTCCAGGCTTTTAAATCCATCTCGGGGCAAGCCTAGACTCCCATTTAGGATACACTACTCCATACCTCCGTACTGCACAAGGCTTCCATCAGTAAAACTTCAGCCAGTGCTGAAGGCAGACCACCTGTGTGGGGTTCAGCCCTCCTGCTTCAGAGTGCAGATAATTCAGTGATGTTTATGAGACGTGTGGTCCCACCACACCTCCTGCTTTTGGCTAATGACTTATTATAGTTCAAGTGGGTGCCTTGAGAGTGTCCTCCCCACTGGGCTCACACTGCAGTATAAACTGTCCCTTTGCTGACCTCTCTGCCTAGAGCTAAAAGACTAGCTTTTTTTGTGAGAAAGAATTCAAAACCACAATTTTTTCTTTATTATGGTCCTTCCAAAAGGAAGTTTTTGTACAATAAGCAACTTGAAACTTCTTATGGAAAGCGGCGTTTTTTACACATGGAAATAAATTTTTAACATAGTATTTTCTACAGTTTCAGATGAACCCTAGAAAGGACCTGTGGTATATCAGTGAGGGTAAAAGAATGTAACCTGACTCGTCACTTACCACTTAGCAAGAAATCAAAAACATCCTTCTTTCTCCTCACAAAATCTTCCTCTTCACTATGTAGTGTCACCCAAAAGAATGATTCTTCTCCGTCAGCACCAAGGCCTCCTCAGGAGAAGCCAACACTTTGTCTAGCCTATGATTCTAAAACACCATTGTGCTTACAGATGGTTGCAACATCTGTGTCCAGGGCACAGGTCTCCAGAGCAGCCAGCACAAAAAGCACAGCAGAGGCACAAGTTTTAGGAAGCCCCATGTCTGGAGCCTGGAAGTCACCCAAGAGGAAGTCACAGGAAGGCAAAGGCAGGGGACTTTAAAAAGGAAATCTTGTACAAAAGCCGGGAATTCCCCAGGGTGGCTGAAAGCTGACACCCAGTAATCACCCTATCCGGAAAGACTCAGTATCAAAGGCAAGAGAGCTGCCAGCATTGTGCAATTCTGCCTCACAGCAACAGCAGGGAAGTCACTGAGAAGTCACCACTGTGCTGCAGCTGAAGAAACATGTTATCTACCAGATATACAAAAAAATCAGGCATAGTATTGTTGTAGTAGCACCGTTCAAGGTAAGCCTGGGTCCCAGAAGGAAATCAACTTTGGGAAATCTCAGCAGAGACCAACATGGACACATTCCTGCCCAGACTCAAGGGCATGAGGTGCAGGCATGGCTGGAGGAGGCAGGTGGCCAGGCCCCAGCATAGGGAGTACATGTGCCACCCCAGCTCAGCACAGCTCAGAGTCGCAGGGACTTTGGGGCTGCTGCATATCCTGCTGGGGGAGCTCCCAGGCAGGCTGGTTGTCTGAGCAAAACCATCAGCACACCCACCACTCAATAACCAAGCTCTGAAGATCTCTGGTCCCCAAAGGTCTCTGTAGGAAGACCGTGGTGAATAGGACACACAATTTCTTGATTTTGCCTACTGCAATGTGCTTTCCTATATCCACAGGTCACTCCAGCAGAAATCTTGAAGCTAAAGCTGCATGTGCACAAAAATCTTGTATCTAGCACCCGTTTCTTACCTTCTTTGGTTCTGACTCAGCAGTCAGGTAACAAAAGGGTTTTTTCTGCACTGCCCTCGAAGAAGTGTTTACTGTTATCAGTGGTTACACACAGCCTTGTCTTTATACAGAGTGAGTTGGTATGTGGGCAAGGGGTGGATTTGCATAGGATTACTTTCTGTATGCTTGACTCACTTCTCACAATAACACATTTCACAATGGTAAGTGTTACACAATCTCTGTAGCGAAAAGAATTCAGTGTCATTATGGCTTCTGCAAGTCTTCTGTAGGAAAATACTCAACATCCAAATATACCTCAAGCACACCACAATGGCCTTGAACCAAATCCTGAATTCAAGATACTCACCATATTTAGGGCTGGGATTCTACACTACCTGCACACACATTCCATTATCCAGAGGACTGGCATCAGCAGTGAACAAACTTGAAGAAGCCACCTCTTAGCTTTGAGACTTGCCACACACTCCTGCTGAATCCTTTCTGCAAGATGAGACCTTCTCAGGTGCCATAACTTCCCTTAAATCCAGATCCTTTCCTTGGGAGAGGGTTGTAGTATCACCCACCAGCTTGCCTGGGGACAAGTACAGTGTCTGCACTGAGTTTGTACCCATGGGAAGAGGACTACGCTGGATAATCTCTTGCTGGACTGAGATCAGTCCGTGGTGGTCACACAGTAACTGACTCAAACAGCGAACAAGGTTTTAAGACAATGTGGCTTTAGCAGCAATAATGTTGAGCTTCCATGACTCAGAGCACATTGTCTGGGGCTTTTGATAAACATGTCATTATGTGAGACATGTCACTGTTATGTCTCATGTGAATATCTATTTACATTTGGAAACAAAAAAAGTCATATGGCGCACAGCAGCCATAATCAGGTAATCAGTGCTGGAGTTTGGAGAGTATTTGCACTCCCAGTGTCTCACCAGCTCCAGAACAGAAGTACAGGGGAGTGAGGATTGAGGACCTTAAGAGCATCATGGTAAAAAACTTTGATGAGTAAAAAAATGGCTAGAAGACAGAAAGGTAGGTGGAAGTGTTGATCTACGTGAGGGTAGGGTCAACAGAGAGGCCTGGACAGACTCGACCGGTGGACTAAGGGCAATTGCAGGAGGTTCAAGAAGGTGAGCTGCTGGGTCCTGCACTTGGGGCACAGCAACCCTAGGCAGTGCTACAGGCTGGGGAAGGAGTGGCTCGAGAGCTGTTTGGCAGAAATGGACTTGGGAGTGCTGGCTGACAGCTTGCTCAGTCTGAGCCAGCTGTGTGCCCAGGTAGTCAAGAAGGTCAATGGCATCTGGCCTGTATCAAGAACAGTGTGGCCAGCAGGACTAGGGAAGTGATCATCCACTGTACTCAGCACTGGTGAGGCTTGAGTTCTGTGCTCCATTCTGGAACTATCAATTTAATAAGGGCATTGAGGTGCTGGAGCCTGTCCAGAGAAGGGCAACAAGGGTCCTGAAAGGTCTAGAAAACATGGATTATGAGGAACAGCTGAGGGAGCTGGATTTGTTTAGTCTGGAGAACAGGAAGCTCACGAGAGACCTCATCACTCTCTACAGCTCCCTGAAAGGAGTTTGCAGTGAGGTGAAGGCTGGTCTCTCCTGCTGTGCCTGCAGTGAGAGGACTAGAGGTAATGGCCTTAAACTGGGACAGAGGAGATTCAGATTAGATATTAGAAATTTTTTTTTTCACTGTTCAGGTGGTCAGGCATTGGAACAGGTTGTGCAGGGAGGTGGTGGAGTCTCAGAGATGTTTAAGAGGGGTCTGGATCTGGCACAGCATGATGGTTTAGCAGCTACAGTGGCAATGCCAAGTTTACAGCTGGACTGGATGCCCTCAGAGGTCTCTTCCAACCCTGAAGATTCTATGATTCTATGGTGAAACCAGGAACAGTAGCAGTGTGGGGAAAAGGAAGGAGAAATTACACAAACAGAGGTCTCTGACCACTCTTAAGGACACAGACATGGAACATGCACATGTTTATGCACTGATGTGTTGAAAGAAAGTCACTAAGGTCCGGCAGCACCAACAAAACACATGTCACTGGGGAGAAGAGAAAGCAAAAATGTGATCAGTTCCATCTCACCAGCACTAGGTGGTCTGAAATAGAATTCTAAATCCCCAAATTCCTACAGGAAATTCATCTGCAGGGCAGCACCACCCAGCATTAATAAGAAGGAGCAAAGGGCAAGGCTTATTTCACATACATTGGTGTTACATGACTAGAAAGAAACAGAGAAGATGGGAGGGAGGAGCTGCTATGAGATACCAGGTCACTCAGTGACTTGTTGCAGTAAAAATTATGTCACTGAATAGCATCCAGTGCAGTCAGGAGGTGTCATCAAATTGTTTTTCAGAACTGACAACCAGAATAATTTGAGGTTTCTATTCCAAGTTTTGTTTCAACAGAGGTTTCATATAAAGAATGATTCAAATCATGTTCTGACCAAAAAGTGGTGGCATGTTTTCTTTCAGGAGGGGCTTTTTGACTGGAGTCCTTGTTCAGCTTCCATAATGCACTGTGTTCCCATTTCCTAGATGATATGCACCAATGGCATAAAGGATATAAAACCAAAGTAACACAGATAAGGAAAAAAAAGGTCTAATTGTGGTAAAAGAGCAGACTGGCATTGGTCAGGCACAAGCCGTATTCCAGAGACAAAGAAAAATTGAACATGTGTATAGACCTGCCACAAATCACATCTTTCACTGCTTTATTTACGGTCCCATAATAACCTGCAATAGAAAAATATGCAATGCTGTATTAATAAGAATGTATACTCTGGACTACAGTTCAGGTTTTATGAGCTTCAGAAAAATAAAGATCCAGCAAAAAGAGAAAGCTGCTGTTTAGCACTAATAAAATATCAGTAATCTTATGACATAGAAAAACATTCTTCTCAATAAATGGTAATAATATTGCCACATTATTATTAAACCAAACAGATTGATGAGTTTTTGCAACTGAAAATGAGAAACATAGTTGGAATTGTTGTAGATGACGCTGTATCTCATTTGGACATAAGAATAACAGTGTAGAGCTTCATTTATGGAAATATCATGGGGAGGCATGTTGGCTGTGGGTCTTGTTTCAGATGATCCCTTTAATACAACCATCCAAAAAAGCATCACAGTAATGACTGGTTTTGTTGGTTTTTTCTTACTTATCAAGCGTCCATCATTCAAGACCTGATTGAGAAACATGAAACAAGGAGTTTAATAGAGTACCCATATGAACACACTAAGAGCTCAGGATAATGTGATAAAACAGGAAGAAGGTACGTCAGACCATATCTCTCACTGAAACGAGATTTCATTAAAATGCATTTAATAGGTCTGATTAATAATTGTTAATCACAATAAGCAGGCTCAATTTGGCTGCATTAAGACAGTTTATTCCATTGCTATCCTGTAGAGGCCTAGCAGGACACAGCTCCAAGGTGTCTTAAACACTTCTTTATTCTAGTATCTTTGTTGCCCGATCCGAAGAAAACACAAACAACCGAAGTCGTTTATGCGGTGCTTTATTGAGGGCCCGGGAGCCTGTGGACTAGCGTCCAAAGACAGAGCCCCATTTCACAGAAAAATCACAGGGTTTTTATATGTTTTCTACACGATTTCTTCATCATCATAATTTCTTAATTCTCTTTCACTACCTGGTACGATTATCTCTCTGACATTTAAATTTTGCCAAAAGTACATTCCTAGATTATCTCCTAGTTACACTGCTTACATTGCAATATCTGCCGTATAGTTCATCTGCAGGTTACATGTGGCCTACCAAGCCTTAGCATAACTACTACTAATGTCAAACTAATGCTAACTAATACAGTTTATTGAACCAAATGGCAACAATTCTCCCCCTTTTTGAGCATTCTTCAATCTTCTGCAAGAATGCTCAACTCTTAGTTATCGTTGGTTCTTTCAAATGCTGGATTATCCTGCCCAACGACATCTTCATACTTCGGAGGAGGTCGGCGTCTTTCATTGAGGCGTATCTCATTGGTTCTTGTCAAGGCTTTTATCACTCTTCTGGTGCGTCTTGTTTCTTTTTCGATGACTCCTAGAACACACTTATAGGCTAACCAAACGATTAATAACAAAACTGCAAATAACAGAATGTACTGTACTATTGACGAAACCTATCCAGAAAC